AACCCCCAAACCCCGAAACCCAAACCCCGAACAGTACACCCCAAACCCTAAACGCCAACGAAACCGAACAAAACACCCTGAGACCATAAAACCACTACACCCTACGCCCTAAACCCCAAACCCCCACCTAAACCCAAAAACCTCAACCCTAAACCCTGAACCCCAACAAACCCCAAACCCAAAAACCTCGAGACTCCTGGCGAAACAGATTCCAAATCTTCACCTCGGGGCTTCCGCGCCGTCGCGGCATTGCAGCCCCGCAGGAGTCGACCGTGGGCCCTTCTGGGTTTGGGTTTCGGGTTTAGGGATTTAGGGGTTTAGGGGTTTAGGGGCTTAAGGTTTAGGCGTTAAACTAACGGTTAGGGGTTGAGAGCTTAGGGTTCAGGGGTTTTAGTTTTAGAGTTGGGCCGTTCTAGGGGATATGGTTTAGGGCTTAGAGGATAGTAATGTCGCAGAAGGTCCAAAGGATTCTCCTGGTGATTCTGTCTTACCCTGCATCGGAAGCCCTAAACCCTAAGCCCTAACCCTAAACCCTAAATCCCAAACCCCTAAACCCTAAACCCTAAACCGTAAACCTCAGTTGAACGTTGGGGCTTGTCTCGTTCGGTTGTGCCGTGCATCCTAGTGAGGCCGGCTCGACGCTCGCTCTTCTTTTGTGGCGAGCCTCTCCTGTCCTCCTCTTTTAGGGTTTAGGGTTTAGGGTTTAGGGTTTAGGGTTTAGGGTATTTAATGATCATACTGACTTCTGTGATGATGTTGTTGTTGTTCTTGTTGCAGTGTTGCTTGTTGCATTTTTTTCATCTTTCTGCCACGCCACGCGTCATCATTGGTTGTATGTGGGGGTCTTTGGGCGATCAATACCCGTGTCTACATTGGGCGGTAGGACCAGTAGGCCTTAGGGCTCTGGCAGCCATTTTCATTCCTAATGAAGCTCATGTTTAGTCCAGGACTTTGGAGTGTTTTCACACTTCTTGTTTACGGGTTTAGGGCTTAGTTCCCACGGTTTCGGTTTTTTTTTGGGGGTTTAGGGCTGAGCGTGGGATGAGCTTGAGGTTTCCCTCTCAGGCTTTAGGGCCTGGGTTCCCGGCTTCCCGTGAGGAATCTCGCGCTCTGTGTCGAGCGTGTTCTGTAGGAGTTCCGGTTCCATGGTCTCGAATCCTTAGCTAAAATCCAGGCTCGAACTTAAGCTCCAAACTCTAAACCCTAAGGCCGCACTCGCTCTGAACTGTGACTTAGGCCTTCATTGAGCCTTATCAGCTCTTGGCATCCTGACAGAGCTGAAAGTAGCGGGGAGCCATGGGAAAGGCAGGAGACGTGGCCTTTGCTGCGGGGATCCTAAAGGACTGCTTTGGCCGCGGCGGCGACTTCACCGTGGTGGTGGAAGCGCCGGAAGGTGGTGATAGCGGCGGGTCGGAGGTCAGGCGAGTCGAGTTCAAAGTGTGGTCCCAACTACTGGCCCGATGGTCTGCCGTCTTTGACAGAATGATCAACTCTGAGGGATTTGTGGAGGGTCAGACGGCTCAGATGGTCATCACAGACTTCTCCAGTAGAGCGGTGGAGATCTTCCTTCGTTTTCTCTACTCCGGGGTGGTAGAGGGCCCTCTTGAAACCCTGGTGGAAGTTTGCTCCTTGGCGGACAAATACCAGGTGCAAAGGCTCCAGGAGCTTTGCACGGAGGCTTTCTACGTCGGCCTGAACCCGCAGAATGCCCTCCGGCTCTTTGCCGCTGCCGCCCGCTTTCGGCTGGCAGACTGGCGCAGACAGGCGCTGGAGGAGATCTGGATCTTTGCCGAGGATGTGCTGACAGAATGCCCGAACATCAGCCCTGAACTCCTGGAAGAGATTCTCGCACCCGGGCTGATCTGCATGAGCCGTCCTGATTTCAGGGCAGTCTTGCAAGCGTGGAGCTCTGGCAGGAAACGGAAGGCAGGCTCAGACGAAGCCTTGCCTTGGTCATTGCAGCCGGTCATCGAGAGACACCTGGAACGCTTGAACGATGAAAGCGCGCGGATTTTGTCGAGGTATGGGCCAGATTATGGGTCGGATATGGGTTTTTTAGACCAGAATGTCTTCAAAAGTCTTTTCAGAAGTTACAAAGACATGCAGGGTTCAGCACCCTTTTTTGGCTACTATCTGCAGGTAGCTTTCGGACCGAAGAGCTGGAATTTTTGCTCGAGAAACCCAGAGCCGCTGGAAGACTACTTCAGCAATCGTAAACCCTTCTCTCTGACCGCAGATTCAATATCATGGATGCTGCCTTACGAGTCCGTTTATCTCATGGGCCTCTGTTTCGCCGCGGACATGCCGGAGGAAGTCCACTGCCGGGTCTTCTGCTCTCAGGATGGTCTCAGCTGGCATCTTGCTGCCGACTCAGGGAAGTCCAAGATCGAAGCAGAGACATGGCTGCCTCTCAGCCGTCCCTCTTACCTTGTGAAGTGGTTCAAACTGGAAGTCCTAGAAGGCGACTTCCACAACAACTTGTGTGTTCAAGGTATCCGCAAGGACGATCTGCCCGCATAAACGGCCACCAGAGTCGCAGCTACTTCTCTTGCGCCGGCACTCGCGAGGGCGTCTCATGCTGCTGCTGAAGTTTCTGTGAAGAGAACACCGTGAGTTGCAGGATTTCGGGTTTAGAGTTTAGGGTTTAGGGTTTGGGGTTTAGGGTTTAGGGTTTAGGGTTTGGGGTTTAACGTTTAGGGTTTGGGGTTTATAATAGAGGTAGGATTAGCAGCCCTTGTTGTCATGGTGCTCATGGCCAGAAGATGCCCCCCAGATCTGATCACTCAGAATGGCAATCCTAAGCCCTAAACCCCAAAACCCTAAAGCCCTAAAAACCCTAAGCCCTAGAGCCCTAAGCTCTAAAACCCTAAACCCTAAACCCTAAACCCTAAACCCTAAAACCCTAAAGCCCTAAAGCCCTAAGTCCCAAACGCCGACCCGGAAAGTCCCTAAGGTTCTTCCTATGACAGAACCCTTCGAAGCCCAAACCTTGAGGTAATAGGGGTCGTGAGTTTAGGTGCTTTTTTTGGGGTTTGGGGTTGTGGGTTTAGGGGTTTTGGGGGGTTTTGGGGTTGTGGGTTTAGTGGTTTTTGGGGGTTTGGGGTTGTGGGTTGAGGGTTTTGGGGGTTTAATATAGGGGCCTAGATACTTACCTATACTATTCTGGGGGGTTCCTTCTTATAGTCATAGGATAAAGGGCCCCAAAAACACTATTTTAATTGTTTGGGCCCTAGATGATAAACAACTAACTCCATGGCGCGAAGCCCTCGTCTGAGACCCTGAACCGCACGCAATATTACTGGGGCGTAGCTTCAATGAGACTCAAACTTTACGAGCCATGGAAACAGCAATCACTTGCAATAAAGTATAGGTTAGGTATGGGTCATGAGTTAGAGCATGCGTGGTCTTCATATACGCCCAAAGCGACCCCTAAGAATCTCGTAGGTCCTTGCTACAAGCCTCGTAAATGTCAATCCATACAGTACCTCTCCCCCTTATTGTATTGCACTCTTTCAGATGCCCTCCTTATTTCAGAAGTAACCCTGAGCCCTGAAACCTACACCCAAACCCAAAGTGACAATTCGGGAAACTTTAACATGTCCCTTATGGTTTCTAAAGAGGCACCTAGTCATAAATACTTTGCAGGGCCCCCAAACTACAACCCAGACCCTAAACCCTAAACCCTAAACCCTAAACCCTAAACCCTAAATCCTAAACCCTAAACCCCTACAGAAGCCACACTGAAGCCCTACAACTCTTGGTGTCATCGAGCCGAAGGTCCCAAAAGCTCCCAGCCCCACAGTCCTAACTCTATGTCCAAAGGCTGGGTTCTTGTCAAGGGATCTAATTTAAGATGCCATAAAACGGAAACTCTAATATTTACTTTAGATCCTTATTGCGGTAACTTGAATTAATTGAGGATTTAATTTACGATACCATAAAAAGGGAAACCCTAATATTTACTATAGATCCCTATTATGGCAACTGAAATTAAGTCCCTTAATCCTAAACCCTAAATTCTTATAAACCCTAAACCCTAAACCCTAAACCCTAACAAGAGCCCAGAAGGAGATCCACGAGTACCAGCGGCGGCTGCGAGCTCTCGGGCTGACGACCTTTGGCCACGGGCTCAGGAGTTCGGTTTAGGGCTCAGGGTTCAACCCGGGTTTAGGGTTTAGGGTTTAATTTACCGGGTTTAGGGTTTAGGGTTTAGGGTTTAAGGTTTAGGGTTTAGGGTTTAAGGTTTAGGGTTTAGGGTTTAGGAGTTCGGCGTTCTCGGAAACTCCGGCGCCAGTAGTAGTCAGGGTGATCATGAAAATAGTTGCGGTACTTGTAATACCAACACTAGTAGCATCCTTTTGCAGCAAGAGAATAGCAGCTTCACGTGTGTGTGTGTGTGTGTGTGTGTGTTTTTGGTTGGAGTCCTGATATTGTTTGGTAGTCCATGTCTGTTTCAACGGATCGTGGCCACAGCAACACTCGGAGCCAGGCGGTTGTTCATGATAGCAGCTAGCGGTAGAGTTCAAAGGCATTCGTTTCGCAACATCCGCAGCAATAAGAAGAAACATGCGTCCGCAAGAGCAGCCGCGCAACCGCAGAAGAACTGGCAGGGCAATCACAGAACTAGTGACAAGAACTCGGACAGCACGACAATGGCAGCGACAACGAGAATGCTGAGAACATGGTGGAAATTGAGATGCCAGTAGCGGCGCTTGCATTCAAACCTATTCACAAGCCGAGGTCATCATAAATGTCATCACCATATAATCGACAGCATCCTCATCGTCGTCATTGTCGTCATCCTCACAACACCACCACCATCATCATCATCCTCCTCGTCGTCGTCGTCGTCACCATCGCCACCATCACAATCACCATCACAATCACATCATCATCATCATCATCATCACCACCGTCATCATCATCATGATCGTTTTTCGCATCACAGTCACAACCATCATCATTGTCATCACCATGGTGAGTATGGCCATCGGCGTCGTATTCGTCGGAATGCGAAGAACATGATGCCGTGAGTTGTAGGTGTTTCAGGAATGAGAGTGGTAAAACAGTTAATTAATAGCAGTAAGGGTAGAGCAAACAACAGACCAAGGCTGCCGCACGACTGCCCGTAGTGACAGGAAGAAAGGTCCCAGAATTCAGTACTAGCAGGCTAGCAAGGGAATTGCACACAACAGAGTAAGATTGCTGGTAGCTGAAAGCGGCGCTATGCCGAAGCTACCAAAATGAATGGCAAGAAGTCACGCGTGGAAACACAAGAGTAGCAGAGGAAACCAGGTTGATCAGAGTCGGTAGAAAGACCATAGAAGTAAGACAAAGAAACCCATGCCAGGGACCAGAGGATACTTAACACCCTAAGAACATGGCTACGTTCACGACGGCCGCACTAGCTTCAGCTCCCCAAGTCTTCAGCTGTTTCCCTAGACCCTAAACCCAGACTCCCAGCAACAGCCAGCTTCTGCCCAAGTTTCAATCTTCAAAGTACCCCTTAGAGCACCCCTGAGAATGTAATCCCCTTTAAAGGAGCCCGTATCGTAATACTTAACCCTAAACCCTAAACCCTAAACCCCAAACCCTAAACCCTAAACCCCAAACCCTAAACCCTAAACCCTAAACCCTCTGCTTGAGGCTACGAGCACACCACCACCCTCTTCCAGGATCTCCAGCTGCGTCAGGGGCGGAGCTGGGAGGTGGCGGAGGCCATGGCAATGCCAGGCGGGGCTCCTTTTTTTTGGGGTTTAGGGTTTAGGGTTTAGGGTTTAGGGTTAGGGTTTAGGGTTTAGGGTTTAGGGTTTAGGGTTTAGGGTTTAGGGTCTCCTTGAAGGGTTGCTATAAGGGTTCCTTCCGGGGTTACTTGAAGGGTTCCTTCCAGGGTTCCTTCCGGGGTTCCTTTAAGGGTTCCTTGAAGAGTTCTGTTGGGTCCTTTCAGGGGTACTTCCCTTGCGGGGGCGGGGCTGTCTTTGGGGTTCGAGGTCAGGGGGTTTAGGGTTTGCCGAAACCCTAGACGCTGAGCCTGGCTTTTAGGCTTTAGCTCTTCGGCTGGCTTCCAGTCGCCTTTCTGTGTGGAGATGACCAATCCCTACCCCACACTTTCATCGTATTTGCCAAACCCCAAAAACCTTAATCCCTAAACCCCGGATCATAAACCCTTAAACCCTCCGCAACCCCTAAACCTCAAGCCAAAACCCTAACCCTAAACCCTAAACCCCTAGATCCTAGACCCTGGCCCCTCAACCCTAAACCCAAAGAGACGCAGAGACTCCAATATCCCTTAATTTAGGAATATACCTTAAATTATAGTAGGATCCCTAATATGATTCAAGGTACATTCCTTAATTAAGGGGTATTGGAGTCTCTGGGGACCCAAAACCCTAAACCCAAAGAGACCCAGGCTGGACAACCAACGCCCGGCGCACCACCGTGGCACGGCGCTACTCGCTGGAGATCGGGGGCCGACGGTTGGAGGCGCGATGACAGGATTTAGGGTTTTGGTTTAGGGTTTAGGGTTTAGGGTTTAGGGTTTTGGGTTAGGGGTTAGGGTTTAGGGTTTAGGGTTTAGGGTTTCGGGTTT